GTGAAAGGCAGTATGTGCAAATACTGAGTATTATTGAGTAACTGCAGTGGGATCTTGGGGCAGCTCCTTATAATCAAATAGTAGTATTTCTACAGTAATACTTTTGTAGTGAGAAAAATAAGTTATTAAAAAAAAATTTCCTCTCAGTTCTGGTCAGATGATACCACCAACTTAATTTTCTGAGAACATATTAAAAAAAGAAAACTTTGGATTTTCAAAACTCTTTGGATTCTGTAATCTTGGAAACTGGGCTAATGAAAGCATTGGAGTAAAGATATCATTAGTGATGCAAAATATTATACTCTATTATTATTATTATTATTAATAGTACCAGATTAATAGGATTGATGTGCATGGTAAGTGTCAGATTACCTGGAAATTTTTAAGTACTCAGTAAGACTAATAATTAACCATAATGATTACACATAAAAGAAGTGACGGCAACCAATTAGAATAAATTCTTGTGGACTTAAATTCCATTTCTCAAATTCCTGGAGACCCTTAATTAAAGGGATAATATTAACAACTCTAAAAGTCTTCTTGGGTAGGGTTCCCATGTGATAAGAGAAAGGCAACAACAACAACATTGATAAAACAGATGAAGCACACCTCCCAAAAGAATAATCAACTGCATATAGACCAGGAAGCACAGATTTTACATTTGATGCTAGCTCAATAGGTTCAGTGCTTTGAGTTATGCCTAATAGTATCCAACAGGTCTTCCCTGTAGCTCAAATGGTAAAGAATCTGCCTACAATGCAGGAGATCCCTGGGCTGGGAAGATCCCTTGGAGAAGGAAATGGCAACCCACTCCAGTATTCTTGCCTGGGAAATCCCATGGCCAGAGGAGCCTGGTGGACTACAGTCCATGGGGTTGCAAAGAATCAGACACGACTGAGCGATTAACACTGCTACACCAATAGTATCCAACAGTGGTATATCTCAGTAATTTAGTCCACTTAGAGAATTTGGTATCTAAAACTAAATATATGCATTCAAGTTAGGTAGGTTCTTGAAGACTTACACACTTCATAGATAGCTGTAGTTATTAAGCTTATATAAAACCTTTACATTTAACCTTTAATAAAGTCTTTAAATAATAAAAGCATATGTGACTTTTTAGAAATTAAGAAGAAAGAATATACATGCATATCTTCTTCCTTACCCCATACTATTTCAATATGGCTAGTCACATGCTTAAAAAAAATCATCTCAGTAAAGCAAGCATGTAAATTTAGAACAATAGTTTATTACAAAGCAATGACAATTCAGGAGTAACTGACTGAACTTTGTCATGGACAGAAGTGCTGAAGCTTAGCAGATGATGGAGGGGAGTTAACTACTCCTCCCAAAGCCTACAGAAAGCTATCTTTAAAATAAAAATATGTTTGTGATATATAGCAGATAGGACATACAGATATGCTCTGGCTAATACTCTTACAAGGTTAATGGGCTGCGTCTTTATATTCTGGGATTGCTTATCTCAGTTGATCAAATTGCTTACCTCAGCTTACCTCGTTGATCAAAGTTGATCAAATATGACCATATCTCAGTGGTCATAAAAGATGACGCATCAAAATAAAGGTCATCAATCACAGGTGATCTGCAGACTGGCAAGACTGTAAAGACAGAACATACTTCTCTGTGATGTTGAGTTTCTCAGAAACAAAAGAGGAAGGTGTTACTTTTATTTTTATTGGATTTACATGAACACAACTCTATTTAAGGACACTGCATTCCTGTTGCTGCTGACAACAGAAATATGGAGAGTAAGGAAAACCTGATTACATTGTCTCAGAAGCCTTCTGATTGAAGGAAGTCAGTCTACCAGCATGGGCAATAAGAACATACTGGCAGAAAAAGCAGTCTTTCTCCTCCCCACTGCTCCACCTAATGTGGGAGACCTTCCTGTTATCGCCTCTTCCTCTTTTTAACCCTCTTTCACTCTCCAAATATTATGAGCAACATAAATGTACAGAGTGTGTAGATAACAGCACAGTGAGTCAAGAGAAACTACCATTTCTGAAATTTTTAACAGAAGAGAACAGAAAGGCTGAGGAAGTCCTGACATACTAATCAGCTCACTGGTGAAAAATTCTGAGAACCTCAGTTTACGACATGGTAATGCTATGTGAACATGATGGTTTTGATTTCATAGGGGGCAATTACCTTCACTTTGTTCAGTGACCACCAACGGGATCCTCAGCTTTACTTACCATCTTGGAAAATGCTTGTCGTTGTTCACAAAGAGAACAGGAGGGCAGTGGCAGTGAGGAAATGTACCACCTCTTCTGGAAAACAAAAATTTAAAAATAAATAAAAATGAAATCTAAAAGAAAGGCTGATAAATGAGTGAATTTTGTAGGCTTTTGAGATGAAGATGAATACAACTTTATTTATGCAAATAAAGCAAGAATGTTAATCACCCAGTATCTGGGAGAACACTAGGCGCTGGTAATTTAAGATGATTTTAGAAACTCACCCCTTAAATGATTGGATCTTTCCTTTTGTTCTTCACTTCTAAGAAAAGACAGCTAAAGGGGTGAGCCTAAAAGAATAGCAAAACTAACAATGCATTTGAAATAATAAAAAAGGAAAAGAGTAGGCATAATTTTTCATTTTTCCTTATTAAAAAGTGATGAGGCCCCAGTTCTAGTTAGGTAGACAGGCTTAAACTTACCAGATGACTGCATCTTTTGCTTTATTTGAGGTTTCAGAATCAGGCCTCAAGTTCAACAAATACAGTTCATTTGAATTCCTCACAAACTTTGTTAAAAAGACTGCTTTCTTAGAGCAGTTTTAGGCTTACAACTAAATGAAGAGGAAGGTACAAAGATTTTATTTAAGCTCCCTCCCCCCCCCACCGGCTCCCACACATGCATATCCTTCCTCATTATTAATACCCCTCCTCCAAACAGTACATTTGCTACCAAGGATGAAGCTATATTGAACCATCATAATGCCCAAAGTCCATAGTTTACCTTAGGGTTCATTCTTGGTGTTGTTTATTCTATGTATTTGGACAAATGTATAATGACAAATATCCATCATTACTGTATCATGCAGAGTGTTTTCACTGCTCTAAAAATCTGTGCTCTACCTATTAATCTCTCCACCCTTCACCCCTCAGCCTGCCAATCACTCATCTCTTTACTGTCTCCATAGCTTTGACTCTTCCAAAATGTCATATAATTGGAATTATACAGTATTTAGCCCTTTCAGATTGGTTTCTTTCATTTAGTAATATGCATTTAAGGTTCCTCCCTGTTTTTTTGTGATGGTTTCATAGCTAATTTCTTTTTAGCACTGTATAATATTCCATTGTTCACAGTTTATGTGATACATGAGAGATATCTTGGGTGCTTCCAAGTTTTGGCAGTTATGACTAATACTGCTATAAACATTTTTGTGCAAGATATGTTTTAAACTCCTTTGGGTAAATACAAAGGTGCACAATTGTTGGGCCATATGGTAAAAGTATGTTTAATTTTATAAGAAACTGCCAAAACTGTCTTCCAAAGTGGCTGTACCATTTTGCATTCTCACCAGCAATGTATAGGAGTTCCTATTGTTCCACAGCCTCATCAGCATTTAGTGGTGTCAGCATTTTGAATTTTGGCATTTTATTAAGTTTGTAGTGGTATCTCATTGTTATTTTAATTTGCATCTCCTTGATGAATATGATATGAATCAGCTTTTCACATACCTACTTGCCATATGTATATCTTCCCTGGTGAGGTGTCTGTTAAGGCCTTTGGCCCATTTTTAAAAATCAGGTTGTTTGCCTTCTTCTTCTCTTAATAATTATCAGATGGACCTTTCATAAATATTTCCTCCCAGTCTATGCCTTATCTTCTCATTCTTTTGACACTGCCTTTCACAGAGCAAAAGTTTTAATGAAGCCCAGCTTATCAGTTTTTCTTTCATAGATTATGCCTTTGGTTTTGAAGCTAAGAAATCACTTTCATATCCAACATCATCTATTGATAGATTTTCTATGTTATCTTAACGAAGTTTTATAGTTTTGTGTTTTATATTTACGTATGCAATCAATTTTAAGTTAATATTTGTGAAGGGTGTAAGGGCTGTGTCTAGATTAACTTTTTTCCATGTGGATGTTCAGTTATTCCAGCATCATTTCTTGAGACTGTCTGTGCTCCGATGCATTGCCTCTACTCCTGTCAAATAACAATTGACTATTTTTATGTGGGTCTATTTCTAGGCTCTCTATTATCTTGTACTGATCTATTTTTCTATTGTTTTGTTAATACCACACTGTCTTGATTACAGTAAGTCTTGGAGTCAGATAGTATCAATTTTTCATTATTGTTTTTCTCCTCCAATATTGTGCTGGCTGGGTTATACATGCTTATACATGCTTAGAACTGGGGAGTAAAAAGTATACCCTTAGTTTGATTTATAAATTATATCATGGCATAAAATAATATCCTGGGTATTTAGAGATGTAGCTTATCAAGATGCCTCCCTCTTAAGAAAATTTTGAATCACTGTATTTTAGACTCTGAGAGTAGAACAGTTAAAATATCAAAACGGTAATTTGGTGGCAATGAATAGAAAAGCATAAATGGAAAACATGTATGTAAGGGCTCTTTAGATAAGAAAAATCATACGCCTCATTTCCTCAAAGACAAATTACACAGAGATACATAGCTAGATACATAAATATTAAGATGACAATATATGCTCTAAGTAGAAAAAAAGTAATAATATTTTACAAATATATCATACACTATGCCAACCATTGTGTCTTTAGTTATTTATAGTTCTTGATGAAATTACTCAGTGAGTTAGGCAGTATTCTTCTCCTTTACACCTGAGTCTCAGAGATGTGAAGTGATTTGCCCAAGGTCATGCAGAACAGGGATTCAATTAGACTTGTCTGGCTCCAAAGCCCACCTTCTTTCTACTATGTCATGTATCATAGTTTTTGTGTTTTACCAAATGAAGAATTTTCACTGAATTTTTCTGTTTTTTAATAGCTCACTATATATGTCCAGCCAGAGCAAAAGCACACAGCTGAATATGCTGCAAACATAACTAAAAGTGTGTTTGACTATTTTGAAGCCTACTTTGCTATGAATTATTCTCTTCCTAAATTAGGTGAGAACCATTTTTTTTAATTTTCTTATTTTTAATATTGCTTTCCTTTTCATCTAAGTTAATTCACTTCCTCCACTTTTAGCATCCTGAGTTAATGGTTATCCATTAGCCTTTTTATCATATGCCTACACTATTTGTCTAACACTTACTGGATGCTGAAAGATTCATTCTGGATTCCTCCAAGAGTAATGTCTATTCTCTGTTCTTACCTGATAAATGTATTTTATTTCCAAATAAAGATTAAACTACAGACACTGATAATGATGGAGCCAGAATGAGCAACCTAGATTTGTTGATTTCAAAATTAGTACCCATCCCAATAGTTTACATTGCCTTCCTACCATCAGTGAGTTAACAGATAATAGGGATAAATAATGCTGTTAGAGTCTTATGCACTTCCAGTCTTTCCATGGTTGTAGAAGACTAATTCTAGATTCTCCAGCAGTTAAAATGAGTTGGTGCTCCTACTGTAAATATTTTTTCTAATATGAAGGATGGGGGAACATGTTTTCTTTTGAAAATAAAAACAGTGCTATAATCAAAATGGTGTGGATGATACATCTATCAGTAACAGAAACACTTTATTAGTAAGTTCGAGTGGTACAAGCAAAGACTGTAAATGTAACACCCATACAGATGACTGTAGGGATGAAATGAAGACAACAACAAAAAAACCAACCAACCAACAACTGACTTCTCTTTTTCTATTTCTGCCCTTACTTTAATAAATTACCAATGCAAAGCAACTGGAATGCCAAATTCTCTACATGGGAATGGCTGTGGCTCTGAAAAACTTTGTGGAAGCTCCTCCCCCCTTTCTTTTGATTGCTTCACAACTATCAGAGGAGACAGGAAGAGAAATACTTCACAAAAATCAGCATAATATCTAATAAGATATTAAGCACATTAATTTAAAAGTCTTTTTCTGTTTATTTCTCTTGTACCACCCATGATAACCTGGAAAGTGGAATTCTCACCACTTTATTCCTTACAGCATATCCTCCAAAACAGAAGCTTGGTATTATCTAAATGAAAGTCATGGGAAAAAAGCAAATAAAAATGAAATACAGAAAGAAACAAAAGACATAAAATTATAGAGGACTTGAAAAGAGCACTGCCAATCATATTCTTGAAAAATAAAAGACACTGATTTCTGGAGTCAACAGGAAAAGTTCCATGGAAATTTTGAGCACATTAAAGACTAAAAAGTTTATACAAATAGATGATTGTTTTTCACTCTGAGAAATTATTTTTAGCCTGTTAAAAAACATTCATCTAAAGAACTTAATTTGGTAAGAAATGTTATGAACAAAATGGAAAGAATGTATTTCTCACTGGACTCTTTTTCCATAGATAAAATTGCTATTCCAGATTTCGGCACTGGGGCTATGGAGAACTGGGGACTCATCACTTACAGAGAAACAAACCTGCTTTATGACCCTAAAGAATCTGCCTCATCAAACCAACAAAGGGTGGCCGCTGTGATAGCCCATGAGCTTGTGCATCAGGTAGAGAGCCTTAGCATCAACTAGGGGGAAATAAAGCAGGAAATAAACGCTGAGTATGATGTCTGCTACTTCTATGTCATTGCAAATTCCTAGGCCTCTGTACCACAGGTATGGGAATTTAACTATCTCTTTATTGCTTATAATTTCAGTGGTTTGGAAATATCGTGACCATGGAATGGTGGGAAGATTTGTGGCTAAATGAAGGATTTGCTTCCTTCTTTGAGTACCTGGGAGTAGACCATGCAGAAACAGACTGGCGAATGGTGAGCTTGAAACACATAAATTTTAAATCTCTATTATCCTCATGCCAAGCAGACTGGAGACTTTGGACTATGACAAAGCCCCTGAGTTGGGGACCACGTGCAGTACTGAACTGGCAATTGCACTGGGAGGATGGGGTGGAGCCAGCTGGCTCAGAGCCTACACCATGCTCAGAGCCTGCACCCAAGCACTAGAGAGCAGCTGAACACCACAAGCCTAGGATGCCGCTGGTAGAGCCATTCAAGAACATACGCCAAGGCAGGCAAAAATGTTGAGCTTAAACCGTGTGAACTCTGTGTTCAAGAAAGTGCCTGTAGTTCTAACCCTTTGAAAAACGTCTAAGCCTAATTTTATAAATGACTTCCCTTACACAGTTTGCTGAAATGATGTGGCAAAGAGATAAGCACATAAACTTAGTAGTTAGACTCAGGTTTAAATCCTGGATGCATCATTTTAAGGTGTGTTACAGGGAATGTGACCTTGAGCAAGTTACATAGTCTCTCTAAGGCCGTTCTATCCATTAAAGAAGAACATTGTTCTCTATCTTGTAAGCTTAAAAGCGCCCGGAAAAATGTACAGGTAATTACTATTATTATACTGTGTGTCCCTGAGGAGCCTGGAACAGAGGCTTCTATGAACTCATATTGTTTTCCTGAAAAGCTATATCTGTTTTCAAATATATTTAGATGGTGTAAGTATCTCCAGGGGATCTTCCTGACCCAGGAATCAAACCTGGGTCTCCCACATTGCAGGCAGACGCTTTACACATTGCAAGCCACCAGGCTTATCAGTCTGTGTATATAAAAGTGTTAAGCATGTAGACGTGTGAGAGAAGTGTTACAGAAGGTTGTCTACTCTACAGACTACTGCCCTCTACTGAACAGAATGAGAAGACCATTATATGCTTGAAGTCCTTTAAGTTTGCACTGCTGCTAAGTCACATCAGTCGTGTCCGTCTCTGTGCGACCCCACAGACGGCAGCCCACCAGGCTCCCCCCTCCCTGGGATTCTCCAGGCAAGAACACTGGAGTGGGTTGCCATTTCCTTCTCCAGTGCATGAAAGTGAAAAGTGAAAGTGAAGTCGTTCAGTCATGTCAGACTCTTCGCGACCCCATGGACTGCAGCCCACCAGGCTCCTCCGTCCATGGGATTTCCCAGGCAAGAGCAGTGGAGTGGGTTGCCATTGAGTTCAAACTTCTTTAAGTTTGCACTACCTGGTTTAAAAACTAAAACCACTACAATATTGTAAAGTAATTAGCCTCCAACTAATAAAAATAAATGAAAAAAAAAAACTAAAAAATTAATTTGCAACAATTGCTTCCTTAAAATTTAATCTACATCAGGATTTTTCATCTGGAACTATTGGGCCAGATATTTCTTTGTTGTGGGGGTGTTCTGTGTATTGTAGGCTATTTAGCAGCATCCCTGGCCTGTATCTACTAGATTCAGGTAACTCTCCACCCCAGTTGTAAAACCCCAAATTTCCCCACATATTTTCATATGTCACTTGGACAAAATTCCCCTAGCTGAAGACCATTCATTTATGTTGAAAGATGCTGATTTTGTAATTTATTGAAATTCAATTATATAAATGAAAAGTTATTTTGTCCTTTACTTTTTATAAAGTAACTCTCTGTATATCAAGATATAAGAAATTATAACATTTTAATATTACTATATTATGCATAATATAATATGTAATATTTTAACATTTAATTTTTAATGTTTCAAAAACACCAATTAAACAGAAGAATTTAGTATTCAGTTCTTAAATGAAATGTAATCATATGATCCAATTCATTCATTCTTCATCCATTCATTCATTCTTCATTCAATGAACACTATAGAGGACCCAAAACTAAATAAAACACACACACTTCCTGCCCTTATAAAAGCTCCCAATTTAGGGTCTGGTGGTGGAGGGGGTAGATGAACAAAGATGCATTGTAAGAAAGCTTGCTAAGTACCACAATAGAGGAGCCTCATTTCACAGGTGAAAACTCTGATGCCCAGGAAGGTAATATAAGTTTGCAATATTACATAGACAATTGGTACCACAACCAAGACTAGAGTCAAATTTACCAACATTGAGAATAAGATTCTTTCTTCTTACCAAAACATTTTAGGGGCACAAAAATTAAAATCTAAATCAAATTACCTTGATTGACAGTCATCATCTGACAATAGTATCCTGCCTATTATTAATGGAATTTGCAAACTTGGAAAATGTAAACTAATATAGAATGCTCCCTTTTGGAAATATTTTTTGATTATGTAAGACCAATAAAGATTTTGATTTTTTATTAGCAGTGCTTTATTAGAGCTAGATTTCAGATTCTAACTAATTAAGGATCAAAATGATTATAGGAGCTAATGTGTTAAGATTTCACTCTGTGCCAGGTACTATGTCAAATGCTTGCATGCATTGTCTCATTAAATCCTCTGCACATTTCTGAAAGGTAGCTGCCATCATTACTCCTATTTAATGAATGAGGGAAATTACTTAAACTTACATGTCAAGATAATGAGCTTTGAACCCACAAAGTTTGACTATAGGGCTAGACCTCTCAATAACTCTATTTTGCTGTGAAAACCTAGGGTTGGAATGAGAAGGTAACTATTAGAACTAATGCAAAAGTTAGTATTTTCTTCAATAATGAATAATCCAAATTCCAATGATTAGTTGGCAGAAAAGAGCCCTAAAACATCCATTTTTGGCAAATCAACATTCTTCCTTACTTCTCAGACAAATTTGTGAGGTGATACCATCATTCCTGTTGCTCAGGTATGGAAACAGAGTCTGAGAAGTTTGGCACATGTCTGAAAGACATACAGAAATAGCAGAAACAATTTATAAATGCTTGTGTCTTTTTGGCCAGCCATATAGGGGAAAAGTCAAAGGAATTATATGTAGGGAAAGGGAATGGAATCAGTGTAGAATCAGTGTAGAAAAATCAATGCCAAATATGATTAATTGACCACCTAATGCTTGCTTTAAATAACATGAGTCCATCTTTATTATATAAATATTTTTACATATAAACCAGTATAAAGTGCTGTATTTCTTTGGTTCATTGTCATTTCAGCGTGATCAGATGATACTTGACGATGTATTACCTGTGCAAGAGGATGATTCTTTGATATCTTCACACCCAATTGTAGTCACTGTGACAACTCCTGATGAAATAACATCTGTTTTTGATGGAATTTCCTATAGTAAGGTGGGGAAAATATGACACTGTTTTGAATGTCTTCCTGTTTAATGGCTTTTTCCTTAGCAAATGCCTAAAAATGGTATGAATGGTTAGATTATGTTAATGGGTTTGGGAAAATAGTGTAGAACTTATTCCAGTGCTGAATATTCCACAGTTTGCAGTTCTCAGTGGAAATGATCAATGCAGGGCATCGTCACAGAATTCTGAATCAGATTTTTTTAAAGTTTCTCTTTTCACTTTTGCTTAAAATGGCTCTCATTCTGATAACTGAACATTTATACTTTAAACGTCCAATTTAAAATTATTTGATTTGATTATTTGAATGACAATAAATCTTTTTCTGTAGTCAATGAGAAATGCCATATATATGGACACCTTTTCTAGTAGAATGCTTCCAGTAAGTATTTAAATCCAAGTCCATTTAAGGAATTACTTTCATCCGGTTTCATATAAGATTTAAAGATGAATGACTTTTGTTAGCATGTCATAGATGCGGCATCTTTATCCACTAAAATTCTATGAAAGGTGTTGAAAATCCATAGTGACCCAAAGTTCCATGCTACCCATTTTCTCTTACAAGTTTTTCTTCTGTAGCTTCTCCTGAAAACATATTCCACACCTGTATGCAGCATATTTTAGTCAATTTTCTACCTCAGCTTCTTATGGTTTACCGACTATACTAAGTTGTCCAAAAACCACTGTAAACTAATACATTTTATTGTTCTAGGTGATACCCAAAGTTTTATTTAAGACAAACTATGATAATTATTAAAATGAATAGTAGATAAAATTGGCTTGAGTGAAAAATACCATATATTAGTATTTGAAGCTTACAGCATCATATTTTTTGGCTTTCCCTCTCATATATTCTCATGGCATTTTTAGGCTTCCTTTATTCGTTTTTCTTTTACATTGTCAATGATTCTTTTTATTGTTCAGTTAAAATGAAAACTTTGAATCTACTTATAGTATATTCTAATAATTCATGGAGAGACATTTATATTTATTAAATGACCTTCTTCCTAAGTCCCAGATATTCCATGGGTTTAAGGTATTAGGTCAGAAATAAATACATGTTTCTAAGCCTTTAGCCTTCCACTAGGTACAAAAATAACTTATATTTTAATAAATTACAGTAAAAATTGCTAATTTAAATGAGTAAGCAATGTTTCTATGGTCAGCTACTTGAAAATTGATTTTTAAATCTATTTTGGCTATTGTTATTGTTTAGTCACTAAGTCGTGTCCGACTCTTTACAACCCCATGGATTATAGCCCACCAGGCTCCTCTGTCCATGGGGTTTCCCAGGCAAGAATATTGATGTGGGATGTCATTTCCTTTTCCAGGGGATCTTCCCAACACAGGGAATGAACCCAGGTCTCCTGCAGTGGCAGATGGATTCTTTACTACTAAGCCACCAGGAAGCCCTTTAAATCTACCAATAAAGTGTTTTAGAGTTAATCTTATAACATATGAAAAGCAAGTAGAGAGCAGAGGTATTCATCAGATGCTTCAGACTAAATAAAACCAAGTGAGATAAACCATTTTGGAAGAGAAGCATTTTATGCCTAAATTATATGTCTTTGTGTGTGGATAGTGCTCAGTTGTGTCCGACTCTTCGCGATCCCATAGACTCGCCAGGCTCCGCTGTCCATGAGATTTTCCAGCAAGAATACTGGAGTGGGTTGCCATTTCCTTCTCCAGGGAATCTTCCCAGCCCAGGGGTTAAACTTGCATCTCTTGTGTCTCCTGCACTGGCAGGCGGGTTCTTTACCACTGAGCCACCTGGGCTTCAGTAAATTATATGTCTAATCTATATTAGAAATCATATGTCTAATCTGTATTAGAAATCATATGTGTAATCTATATTAGAAATCATATGTCTAATCTATATTGAACTATATGACCTGATTAATCCCTCAACTATTTACTCCCCTCTGTTAAATATAAGTTCCCCAAATATTCCAATATACCTAAGAAGTAGCCAGAATTTTATCCTGAAATTGCTTTCTTTGTTCAAAGAAGATGACTTGATACTTTCCACCCCCCAAGTTTCTCTTTCATTAGGAAAGCCCCATCTACTGGTTCATGTGGTGAAGTGCAATAATTATTTGAATCTCAGGTTTCTGGAAGGATGGCCCTTCTATCCTTTTCTTCCTGCCTTTTAGTTATTTTAGAAGCATAGATATGGGGGTATGCCAGATGGTATTTTCACCCTAGAATCACAGATTGATAACCATTTAGCAGAGTCATCTTGAAGACATTATCCCACAAATATGATCATGAGATACTAGTCCCAGTAGACATCATTGATATTTGTTTCTTTTATATATCCTATATTAGTTTTTCTTGCCATTCTTTTACATCATAGGGAGCTTCCGTTCTGAGAATGCTTGAAAACTGGATAACACCAGAGAAATTTCAAACAGGATGTCAGGTATGATTTGTTACTTTTAACACTACTAAAAAACTACTGGTATGTGACTGATGAATGTTAAGATATGTGATTAAGGACAATTCCCCTTTTACTTTTACTTTCCTTGTTCAGGAATAGATAATATTGCAAACTCAAAAAAAGTGATTTCACGTACAGTCTGTTACCTACATTATGTCTGTACCTGTCACGTAGCACAAGTTTCACAGAGAAGTTAAGCAGATTAGTTATTTTGATATCCTTTACAGGGTTAGGGCTTGGAAAATGTCCTTTCTCTTCCTAAGATATTAGTAATAGAAACACCGTTTGTTTCATTTTGTGCTTACCAGTAACAACTGAGGGACTATTATCGAGCGATCTAGGTCATCATGAACTTTTGACTAGAATGACTATATTGTGATTATTCAAAGTGAAGAAGAAAATGTCAGTATAGAATATTCAAAAGCACTAATCTAGATAAAATGAGTTACTTTTAGTATACTATAAGCTGCAATCCTCTCACTCAGAGGAAGCAAGAAAGTAACCTAAAATACAGTAACAGCCGTGATGAAAACCACACAAAGTGATCCAGGACTTAGAAATCTCTTCACTGTAATCTCAGGCAAATCTCTTCTCTCTAGACACCAGTTTCCTTCACTCCCAAAATGTGAGAGTCGTATAAAACAGTATTTAAGGTTCCTTTCAGTCCCAAGATTGCATGCTTCTCAGTACAAGACACTGTGAATATACAAAGAAGTTCCTTGAAAGTAATTTTAAGCAGATACTATTCACTAAACATCATCATTAACAGGTAGCTATGATTATAATTATTACTATTTCAAGTGTCCAGTTATTTTATTAAGAAAGAATGAGCTGCACAAAACTCTGGAGCGAGTTAGATCAAGAGCCTGTGCCTCCCATTTCCTCTCCCTTCCTTTCCCTGCCCTCCAGTGGCAGTGCTGAGCAGTCAGCCAACCAAAGGAGCAAATACGAAGGCAGCGTTTCAAACTGGTTTCAACTCTCTCCCAGGTATCTTGGAGCAGTCCTGCTAGTATTGTTTTATCTCTCCATGGCTAAAAAAAGAAACTTAGAAGATAACATGACTTAGGCATAGCACCTCTTGAAAGTTAGAGCAACTTAGAGTGAAAATGATATGTGCAAAGTCAACCACTGGTTTATTTTCTTTGAAGACTCAAAGACCACTTAAGAAGGTTCTGTTTCCATCAAAGACATCCATATTTTAAACAGGACAATTCTAGAGCATAACAGAGAAGTGATTACAGCAGGAGTTTTGGAAGGTTTCCTGGAGAACCACAAGTAGTGCCCAATTATGAGATTAGAAGACTAGGAATTTTCTTTAGGGATATCACAGTATCCCTGAAAACTCATATGCAGAGAGGTTTGGGGACCAGAACTGACAAAATGGGGAACCTTCTAGTTAAAAATATTTTGTGTTTGTATTGTAAAAATATTTGAAAAATGAAGGCTTACACTTTAATTTCCCCAATTTATCCATTATCATCATCATGATTATTATTATTCCAAAGACTGTATATTCATTTCTTTAGAACAAAAGTCTGCAAACTACTCCTATAGCTTGTGGGCCAAATCCAGTCCACCACCCATTTTTGTAAGGTCTGCAAATGAAAATCATTTCTACATTTTTAAATGGCTGGAAAAAATCAAAAGAAGCATATTTCATGACATGTGAACATTGCATGGAAGTCAAATATTAGTGCATAAATAATGCTTCACTGGAAAACAGCCTTGGTTACTCACTTACATATTATCTTGGCTGCTTTGGGGCGATGGAGGCAGAGTTGAGTAGTTGTGACAGCGACTTATATGGCTCACAACACTTAAAATCTTTACAGCTTTTTATGGAAGAAGTTTGCTGAGAGCCCTGGCTTAGAGCCAAGCTTACCAGTTTTTATCTTTGCATATCACTTAAACCACTCATGAGTGATGGGGCCATCTAGGGTCTGAGATGAGAAAGCAGTACTGGTGTAAATAAAGGTAAGGGATACAGCTGGTAGTGGACAGTTTAACACTAGTAAGTGAACATCATAGAATCATAAGTCTTTTTTCCCTAGCAGATCAAAATTGTTACGGTCTGTTGACTGTCTGCTGAACACTCAACTGTCCTTAAGTACCTCGCATTGTATATCCTGAAAAAATTAAACTTTTCCTCTCATGTTCACAATTCCATTAGACTAAAAAAAAACTTATCTCATTAATAATAAAAAGTATTTCTTATGCTTTACAAATAAATCATTATTTGTACAGTGTTTTTATAGGTTATGAAATGTTTTACATACAGAATATCATTCCATTTTCATTCTAGGTATACCTGCTATATTATACATTAGAGTGAGATTGTTGAAAAGTTCACTGATGTTGTGAAAGTATGGAAAAAGCAAACATTGACTTCTGAAATATTTATCTTTCACATGCAGAATTACTTGAAAAAATACAAATTTCAGAATGCCAAAACTTCAGATTTCTGGGAAGCACTTGAAGAGGTAATGAGAAGTATATACTCAAAAATTTCTTTGATTAACAAATGATTTATCAATCATTTCTTTATCTGATTGTTCTATCCTTTTATCTCCCCTTATTTGTTGATTGATTATTCTCTATTTTTTTTTTTTAATCTTAGGCAAGTAATCTCCCAGTGAAAGAAGTAATGGACACCTGGACCAATCAGATGGGTTACCCTGTACTTAATGTAGACAATATGAAGAACATCACACAGAAACGTTTTCTGTTGGACTCGAGAGCTAATTCTTCTGAGCCACATTCAGCTTTTGGGTAAGACTCTATAATGCACTTCAGGGGAAATTTGATGGAATCCTGGCAATTCATTTAGAACTTGTTCTTCGGTACCTGATTCATAAGCACAGTGTCTTTATGGAAATAAAGACATTTAGAAATAGCTCAGTCATCTCTGGGTTCAAAATGGTGGATTGAGCACGTGCATGCAAGTCTTATTCTTCCCAGAAATGACTGAATAAGGAAATAGAAATACTAAAAGAAATAAACTCAGAGACGTAAAGAAAGCAGAGAGGAAGGGCTAAGTGCATCATAGACTCCTAGATGAAGAAAAGCAGAGGGAGGGATATAGACAGAAAACAAACTGAGAGGGTGCAGCCAGAGGAGGGGACTTGAGCAGAGCTGGCAGCTGAGTTCCCCTGCCCTAGATGGGCCTGGGCTCAGAGTCAGCACTCAGAGTGCACGGCAGGAGTGAGAGGTGAGGTGGGAAGTAGGGCGGTTATGAAGTCTGCACTCAGGACCATTGCCTTAGCCAGACCCCTCTCCCTCCACTTTCCCTTCACTGACTGCCATTCTTTCCTCTGCACAGAGCTCTCAAAAGTCTGGCAATGACCCAGCAAAAACCCAGAGGGCTTTTTTTTTTTTTCCTGAACAAATTGACTAAAACAGTGGAGGAGAGCTAAGAATTTCCATTTGGTTGGTACACGCAGAGTAAAGCTTTCCTCCTTGTGGCATTTGTAGGATGAATGGGCTGGAGCTGCTCATTCATACATACATACATACACTCATACATACATAGAGCCTCTAGTGAGACTTCCTGTTCAGCAGAGAAGTCTGTCTCAAAAATATACCTCTCTTCTCAACAGCAGAGGGGTTACATACAAGACACCAAGAATAATCAATTTAGTCCTTCTTTCTTAAACATGAATGAACGATCAAAGATAACAAGATGCATGAAAAAAATCTAAAAACATAAAAGTTAAAATCTCACATGAACAAACAATAAACCCATCTCAATAAGAGACATAATTGAAATAAAAAATAAATTTATGAAATATATTGAGATCAAAGCTCTTATACACATTAACTAAGAGCAGATTGTTTTTGAAAGGACAAACTAAAAATATGAAAGAGCTATGAAAGATTAAAATTTCAGTTGTCAAAGAAATTAATAGACCAATTAGAAATAAATTTGGAGAATTCTCTAAAAGTACAGGACAAGCATACACAGAACTGGTAAATGTGAAAGAGAAGATAAATATGAAAAAAAACCTAGCACCAACTAATAGAAGTCTCTCAAAAAAGGAAAACAGAGAAACTTAATGGGCATATTTTATCAAAGAAATAATAAAAGACACAAGGATTCTGATTAAAAAGCCCCGTTGAGTACACAGTACAAAATGGTAAAAACCAAAACATACTTAGCTACAGCCTCATGAAATTTCAGAGAATAATGGTACATGAGTTACTGTGACATTAGAATTCTTCACAACAGCTCTGAAAACAAGAAGAAGATAAAGCAGACATTTAAAATGTAGATGCAAAAAATATTTTCAACCTCCGATTCTCTACCCAGTCCCTAAACCAAATGTAACAGCATAGTGAAGACATTTTATGACATGCAGCCCCAGAAAATGCTTCCCACACAGCACTTAGAAAGTTACTGAGGTTACACTCTAGGCAAACTGGAGCAGGGAGAGAAAAAAATATGAATATATAAAAACAGAGGAAGACACAGGATCCAGGAAACAGTGTGTCTGTCCTAGGAGATCCATGAAAGGAAATGCAGATCAGTAGCCATCCAGTGGACTCCCAGTGCCCTAAGAGCAGGAGGACTGGAGCTGAGTTAGGTGATCTGCAGGAAAAAAGACAGTATGATTGGCAGGATGGCAAAATTGAGGAGTTGGTGAAGGCCTATCAGTTTGGTCAACTATAAAGAATAAAAATTAGAAAAAAAAAATTAAGGCCATATGTAAAAATTGTGACACCCCCCCCCCAAAAAAAAGAAGCAGGTAGAATGATTTTATGCCACTGATAAAGTATAAGGAAAAGGAGTCTCCTGCACTGGCAGGTGGATACCTTACCACTGGGCTGCCAGGGAAGCCCAAAAAGGAGTCTGTTTTACCCTTATAAAATAAGATGTTAGGGGAAAGTTTTATTTAAGTGACTCAAGGGCCATGAAATCAAACCATAGAAAAGGAAATATAACTCCAACACACTTCTTGGCCAACAATAGGTATACAACATAACTCCATATATGTTATTTATTGTCTTTTAGTTTTTTTATAATCAACCAATGGATAACATGTTAAAATTTTGTTCTGGTGGCAGGTTACATTGTACATATAAACAGGTTTTACACTGTAACAAGAAAAGAAAATAACTGACAAAAGAAAGGAGGTGGAAAAGGAAGAGAAGGTGGAAGAGTGTTGGGATACTGATTCAGAGGTGGACTGAAGCTGGATTTAATCCCAACTCAGAGATATCATGCCAGCAGCCTGATGGTCATGATGTGAGTTAATAGAAATCAGCAGAGAACACATTCCACCTCCCACTCCACCTGTTAAAGGGAGAATAAAAGAGAGAGCAGTGAAAGTGAATTAAATCACCCTCTTTCTTGGGTGAGTTAATAAATACCACCTAAATAATACAGAGGTATTTACAGTTACAGGATTAGACATCCGAAGAATTAAAACCAGAAGCATCTAAAAGAGGGTGCTTCTGAGAGAGGTGCTGGCCTGTGGGTAGGGTGCAGGAAACAGTGGCTTTTCAATAGCAGTTTTTCTAGTTTTTGATTGAGGATCTTTTTATTTACAATGCATAAATGAAATTCTCCCAAACATTTTAACAATTACAAATTCAACCAATCAAATTATTTTGTATATTTCATTTACAAGAAACTTCTAAACAACACTGCTTAGTGAAGTGGAAATGAAAGTCCCTCAGTTGTGTCCGACTCTTTGCAACCCCATGGAGTATCCAGTTCGTGGAATTCTCCAGGCCAGAATTCTGGAGTGGGTAGCCTTTCCCTTCTCCAGGGGATCTTCCCAACCCAGGGACTGAACCCAGGTCTCCTGCATTGCAGGCAGATTCTTTACCAACTGAGTTATTACAGAAGCCCCCAACAATACTTAAAATGTTATTAAATTCCATTTATAATTTCAAATATAAACACCTAAAGACACAGATTTATAAATCTAATTAAAAGATACTTTTCTATACATTTTTATGGACATAACATGAAAGTTCACAAATATGACATCAATTCTTGGACATTTTCAACACATTAAGCTTTAAAAACAACAACAACAAAAATAATCACACCTTTAACTTTACAAAATGAGACTTTTCTAGCACATAAAAAGATGCTCAGCATTACTAAATATCAGAGAAATGCAAGTCAAAACTACAGTGAGGTATCACCTCACACTGGTCAGAATGACAAGCATCAAAAAGCCTACAAACAATAAATGCTATAGAGGGAATGGAGAAAAGGGAACGCTGTTACACTGTTTGTGGGAATGTAAACTGGTACAAATACTATGGAGAACAGTATGATGTTTTCTTAAACTAAAAATAGAACTACCAGATGATCCAACAATCCTACTACTGGGCATATATCTGGAGAAAGCCGTAATTTAAAAAGATACGTTCACCCCAGTGTTCATTGCAGCACTATTTATAATAGCCAAGACATGGAAGCAATCTGAATGTCCATCAACAGAAGAATGGATAAAGAACATGTGGTATGTGTATACACTACTACTCAGCCATAAAGGAGCAAAATAGTGCCACTGGAAGCAACATGGACAGACCTAGAGATTACCATACTAGGTGAAGTTAAGTCAGAGAAAGACAAATGTCATATGATATCACTCATATGTGGAATTATATTTAGAACAGACACAGATTTCAAAAATACACTTAGGGTTACTAAAGGGGAAACATGGTGGGGGAGTATAAATTAGGAGCTTGGGATTAACATACACACACTGTACATAAAATAGATGGCCAACAGGGACCTACTGTATAGCACATGGAACTCCACTCAATATTCAATAATCACCTATATGGGAAAGGAATCTGAAAAAGAATGATATGTGTATATGTATAACTGAATCACTATGCCATATACCTGAAACTGACATTGTAAGTCAATTATATTCCAATAAAAGTACAATAACAAAAAAATCCCCAGCACAACCAGATTTTTCTAGACATTTAAACATGACTACTGAGTTAAGATAGTCTAAGGATTTCAGTTAAAATTACAAAGCCAATGTGTCATTCATTCCCTCTAATTTGCCAGATTTCTTAAACATCTCAAATATTGTAACAGCTGACCAAATATGTGCCACACAGCCAGGGGTTTCCAAACTTATCACCCTTTTATGACAACAGCTTTTACAAAAGAGTTAACACTATAGCCATTGCTATATAATTAGTTATTTTTGTAGACATGAATGGAGTGCTAACTGCTCCCAACTAAAGAGAACAAAACCACCACCCGTAGGGTCTCCCAGCCACGGGGGCTGGCCACAGGAACCTAGGTGTGCCATTTTGGGTCAGACCCCCCTACCCAAGTGAGCCCCCTCCTGGACAGGATTCTGGCTAAATGTGACCCATACACTACATCCCCTGGACACCATTCCAATTTCATCCATGCTGATTTTAATTGTCTTTTAGCTTAACACTTGCTTTGGGTGGAGACAGTTTTGTACACACCAGACTCCAGGTGGCTTCTAATCTCCACTGCCTGATTTCTATTGTAAAGATCCTTCACCTTCTTCCTCTCATTTTAAATAGTCTCACTGACCTTATCTTACAGTCACATATGTAAAGCATCACAAGATCACTTATTCAATAGCAATTGGGATAATATGAGGAAGGAGAATTACAGGGTATAAATAAAGTGTCTCAGGAAGTGGTTAAGCTAGTAACTGTAAACTAGTTCTTTTATAGTTAGTTGTATGTTCCAGCAAATTATCAATAGATTGGCCCATTTTAATATTGCTAAAGCCTCTGGATATTAAAATTTT